TTTTGCATCAATTTGCAAATATCAATAAAAACTAAATAAATAAAAATATATTGAAATTCTATTTAAAAAAAAATTAATTTATAGAAATTTCAATGTTACAATGTTATTGTGAAAAATTTCATAACGTTCTCAAATATTTTAAAACATGAATCTAAATTCAAATTTTAATATAATTTAATTTATTGTTAATTTTTTTGAAAATTAAATTGTTGAAAATATTTAAATCACTACTAGATTAATTTTTGAAATAATTTAAATTAACTCATTTACTCAATGAAAAATTTAAGCTTTTTTGTCAATAGTTTTGTTTTTATAATAATAAATTTTATTAAATATAATGCAAAGTATCTTATGCTTATCGTTAAATATTATTAGCAATTCTTTTGATTGCTTTTATTTATGATGTGTTATTATCATTTTTTACATCTTATTTTAAGGTTGTTTTTTTAAATTACACATTTTTTAATTTGATGAAATCATTTTTTTCTTGTTTCATTACAACCATCATAGTTTATCAAATACTATTGTTGAAATCATTTTTAAAATTTTTTATAAATTTATTCAAACGTTTTTTTTGCCTTATTACATTCATCACCTTGAAATATATATTTTTTTGGAAAATTTTCAAAAATATTAATTTCTTTGATTCTTACATTTGACGCTTTGTATCATTAAATTTTTTTTTAATTTATAAAATGTTTGTAATCTCAAAAATAATTTTTTTTTACATTTATCTTGACATTTTATGTCAATATTTGGATTTTGGGTCTTGGTATACACATTTTGATTTGAAGCTTAATAGCAAAGTTGATAACTAAATATGAATAATACAAAGATGTAAATTAAAATCATTAGTCATAGATTGCATTGAAATATGTTATAATTTAAAAATTTTGTGCATTTTCTTCAATATATAATTAATTTTGGACTAAATGTTTTTAATATATATTTCTAAATTTTTTTAATAACTTTATTATCAGAAATATTAAAGGAAATTGATTTAAGGACATTTAAAAAAATAAAATGATATAGATTTTTGAAAGTTTTTATGAGTTGAATCAAGCTTGTTGTTAGCATTTATCTCATGACTTGAGCAAACTAGGGCAATGTTTGTATAGATGAAATTTGTTAGATTTTCTACTAGATCCAGTTAACGTTTCTACTAATATAACTTGGGATGTTCTGAGCTCATTTGAAAATTTTTTGCTCAATTGTACAAGAGAATTTTGAAAGGGAGAGAGAAAAAGAACTTGTATTCACGTTGGCAACAGAGATGAAGTAAAGCTTCTTGAGTATCTTGTCTACTAATACATAATGATTGAGAATATCTGGTTTTTTTGACATTTGATATCAAAGCAGATCTTGGATTTATCTCAAAAGTTTCCATGAAATGTTGATGTTTTGATGACCAATAGTTTGCATTTTGGCATTTTCATTTCGTGGCATGATGCAATGTGTTTTTTTGAAATATTTGTCAATTCATGTTGTAGTTCTTTAGACTTCTATCATTTTGAGACAAATTTCGTAAAAATCAACTTTGTGAGTGAAACGTTATGGACATGTGAAGTTCAGGTTTTGATGTAAACCATCATGAAAGCTTGTTCAAGCTTTTAGGTAAACCAGTTTTCAATTTTGTTTATGACATTTTAACCATTTGGACTGAGGACCTGGGCTGGAATGTGTTGGAAAGAAACCAATATCAAATCTTTGATTTGATATGTGTTAAGCTACAAGTCGAATGTAACAGTAAAGATCAAGATTGAAATTCATTCAAAGATGAGTATAACTCTTTAAAAGAAAGTATCTTTAAAATCAGGTAGTGAACACAGTAATCATGTTACTACAACCTTCACCCAAACCTTAACCCCCACTCTTGTGCTTTGTAATCCAGATGGAAGCCCTCGTAACTCAGAATCCTATTCTCCCACGACACAAATGTCACACACACCCCTTAGGCAGCTCGGTTGCCTCAAGGAGAGTCTGGTTGTTTATCTGCAAAGCGAAAAAGCGGAAATTTATGGCGGACATAAATGATAGAATGAGGTAGGAAAGATTGCCGTAGGAAGTTTGAGTTGTTAATTTGACTTGATTGCATGTCAAGAGGCCTACTGATGCGACCAAGTTGTGGGAATTGTGTGACCACTTAGATAACACAAGTACTTAGACCTAATACATATCTAGTTTCATATATGTTTTATTTTCTCCTTTATAGACTACGAGTTTTAGTTTTTCTTCGATTACAAGAGTATCTATGCTTTAGATCTGTTCTTAGGAATTTCCACAGATAGAATATATGATTAGTGTAAAAATGAAACTCTCAGAGTCAAGGGGAATATTGTTAGCGTTTACTCATGACTTGAGCTAACCAGGGTTCGATTTGTATAGACTGACCTAGTTGAAGTTTCTACTGCTTTGAGATCATTTTGGAATATATCTCTCATTTGTACGAGAGTATTGAAAGAGGGAGATAGAGATTGTACTCACATTGGTGGCGAAGATCGAGTAACCAGAGATCGAGTAAAGCTTCTTGGTTATGTAATCTACTCATACACAGTAATTGAGAATACACGGTTCTTTTAGTTCTTCCTGATCTAATCATATATTATTGAAACTATTTTTTATTAAAATTAATCAATTAAGAGAAAATAAGTAAGAATAAAATGCTTTAGATTTTTGAAATTTTTTTATGATTTGAATCAAGCTTGTAGGTAATAATATGCAATATATAAAATGTTCATGAAACCACAAATTTTTTATCAAGTGTGATTAATTTGTGTGTATAAATAAAAAAGGTAAATATTGATAACTTCAATCTTCTTGTTCAGGTAGTTTATATAAAGAATTTTTTTATTTTTCTAATGCAAAACTTTGACAATGAAAATTGCAGAACAAAAGAAAAATTTAATAAAAAGTAAAGATTTGAATTTAGTTAGGACTATATTAGTTATGAATACTCACAAATTTTTGACAAAAAAATTCAACAAGTTCAGAAAAATAATTTTGACATGTGCTTAACAAGTTTAATATGATAGTTACAAAACATTAAAAAATAATGACATCATAATTTTATTTCTTATAGCTTAATATTTAATTCAGGATTTGAGATTAAAAGAAAGTTAATTGTAATTACTCCATAATAATATCATGGATAATCTAATGTATTTGATGATGTGTACAAGTCTGATATTGCTTTAATAAAGAACAAGGTGATGGATTTAATATCAAAATCTTTAATAGTCTTTGATAGTGTGTTAAGTTTAACTCTAAATTATGAAACATTCTGATTTGTTGTTTGAGGGTTTACGAGATGATAGCAAAATTGATATATTTATACTTAAATTGGACAAAACAAGATCTACAGTCAATTATGTATTTTAGTCAAAAGTGAATGGATTGATTGAACATTTCTTTTACATTATGAAATAACGGACAATAATAAAAGTTGAATATGTAGCAGCAATTTTATTTCATTTTTCTTTTACTCAACCTAGTGAGATTAAAGCAAGATATTATAAATCCTCATTATGATAAACTGAGTGTGTTAAGATAAAGCATAGGAAAGTTTGATATCATTTTGTCAAAGATGTAGCTTTTGATACACTATATGAGCTATAATATGGTTCTATTTATGTCAGAAAAGATAAATATTCATAACTGAAGTAAAACTTGAGTTATTTTAATCCTTCTATACCCACGTGTTGGAGTTAAAATATATAAATATTTATACAAAATAAAAATAACTTCATGTTGCTAATCCAAACGCGCTCTGGCCAGGCGCACACTAAAAACGTTTCCAACACCTACAGCAGCTCCCGCTAAAGCAATGGTAGCTGCTCCTGCTCCAAATAATTTGTGGCTAGTACTCATATTGTACAGAACAAAAATCCGAAATAATGATTATTCTTACTACTGCTCGACGGTTGTGGAGTGTGGCAATCGAAGACTGTTTAATATTAAAGTCTAAAAGAAATCGACTATTGTGATGCCATATCACATATTAATGTCATTTATAATTATTTCATCTAGATTTTAAAAGTGGAGGAGAAGAGGGTGAATCAGTTTGTTTTGGATAAGTTTTGCAGTCCACTTGCCTCTTGTGTGTTTTTTCTACAACGATAGTACGAATGCCAAATAACATAATATTTGAGAGTGATTTATTCAATGATGAACAAGATCACGCACAAATCATGCATGTGGAAGAAAGACCGCTGTCTTCGAGTTTGACACGGACACCAGTCGCATGACCAATTCATCCAAATTGATGACGCACATCATACGTCCTCAATTTTATCATCTTATCAAATCGTTATTTGTTCGTACGTGTCGTGAATTTGGACTACTTTGGCCATTGACGTGGCAATGAAAGGAATATTGGCTTCGTGTTTCCTTGTTCTGTAACGGGGAAGCCCTTTAGTGCCGAGTACTGCATCACACCTCAAAAGCATGCCCGAACCAGATCTATGCCCACTTATTCTCCGCTTGTGGTACCCGGAACCGAACGATATCCAAAGGGACAAAACCGAAAGCATGCCCGAACCAGATCCATGCCCACTTATTCTCCGCTTGTGGTACCCGGAACCGAAAGATATCCAAAGGGACAAAACCGAAACCCGAAACGAACCCAAGTCGCCTCTGAATTGATACCCGACTGACCCGAATGAACTCATCTCAATCGTCATTGTCACCTATGAGAAACCTCGAGAATAATGTACGAAGAGAACAAGTGCGATTAGCACTGTGTCAAATCAAAAAGTACTCCACGACCTTTGTACAGAGTAACCCTAATTTACATTTTTAAACGTAACTCTATTTCTAAACCATATTAAGAAAAGTTCAACCCGAAACCTAACCGGACCTTTCTAGCTTGGTCCAAACCCGAACCATACCCATCGGTTCGGGCGGGTTTGGTTCGGGTTTCGGGTATGGGTACCCGATGCAGTACTCTGCTTTAGTGTCTGCTCTGACCAATATGGCAACTACACTTTTCCTCTTGCCAGATTGCAGATAATCATGAGTAGATCTAAGAAACGTTGGGAAGGTGCCGTCAGTGTACCGTACCTACTGTCCCTTTTCAGAACAACAGCAGATCTCTGTTGCTCGACGAGAAGGCCACTATTCTTCTTCGGCACTCAAAAGTACCTCCTGTCCCTTCGGAGTCTATGGCTGATAACGAGCTGTCCTCAGACTACTGGATGCACACAATCTATTCGAACCTTAGCGTTTCTGCTGCATCTGCAGAAAGCAATTTGTAAGGTCTTAAATTCGCTTTCAGTATATTATAAATATTACGTACCTCAATTTTCTCGTGTGTCCGCCCGTTTTCTATTAGATTCACGAAGTGAGACGCATTCGTTAATCGTCAGAACTCTAAGTCGGTCAAGCGGGGGTGGTCGACGATGGTCACATTTGCACTCATGCTCGGCCATGGTTGGTAGTTTGGAGTAGACCACGACGTCGCTGTGGCTCCCAACCTTCATCTCTATAGCACGTGCAAATATGCGTGTTTGTCATGAGGCATGAAGCTCGTGGGAAAATAAGCCACAGACCTGCAGGACATGTTTGACAATGTGATGCTGCCCGTGTCATCCGTTTCGTTCCTCCCTGTACGTTTACTGATACTTTTTGCTGTACTAATTGGCCACCCCGTTGTCCTTCTGTTTGCGCAGCCGGAGAGTAGGACTGAAAAGACTGGGAGCAAAACGCAGATGGAGGGAAATGGGTGTGTCAGAGAAGACCATCGATGAAAAAGGGAGAGAAGATATTTTAACCGAGAGAACGGGCAGACGGAGAAACAACGCAGCGAATCTGAGGTTGAGATTGAATGTAGTACACCCCAGATAAGCAGATGGTTCTTGATTTGATACAGTACTTATGTTGTGAACAACGTATAGTACTTCAATGTACCACGAACCACAAAACAAGCTCAGTGAAGCAATTTCGTAAGATGTGATGTCCAGTCTACTCTTCCGTATCACATATTCCTCAACGAGAAGGTTTAGGTGTGATAGTGAAGCGTTTAAAATATTAGAAGGCGGGTAGGAAAGAAAACCTCGGGCCATGTAAACAAGATAAATTTCTCAGACTTGAGAATGTGGTGCGTAGGAAGGGAGGCTTATGAATGAGTTTGAAGAACCTTGCAAATAGATTTGATAGCTGCTTAAAAGGTTTTGATTGATGTTTGTCTAATGGCGAGATATAGTCACTTATCATGATTATAATATGCGGTTGAGTTCGCAGATGCATAATATTCTTCCTCTATTTGAAACGTGCTTCCTGCATTCCGAGGCTAGTATGTAATAATGTTCAGACTTCGTGAAAGAGTTTTAAGCCAATCGATTGAAATTTCCAGCATCTTGGGAAGAGAGACATCAAAAGTATAATGTATAGTGTAAAAACTCACTTGCCGTAGTGGAAGAAAACTTTCTGCTGTGGCTGCATCTCAATACCAATGATTGGATTCGACAATAAACATGTTCAAAATGCGTCGATTAGAGCAATTGTGACATTTTCACTTTAGGTTTCATAAAAGATGCAGTCCTCTGGAATATTATACAAAATTTTCATACAAATAATATGCCCCCTCTTCGTCTGATCACTCTGACATATTTCGAACTATAGTTCATGGATTGGTAGCCTTTTGGCGGATCATCAGTTTGAGCACTTTGCTATATCTCAAATAATAGTTCATGGACCGGAAATTGCAGCCTTTTGGCGGATCATCAGTTTGAGCATTTTGCTATATCTGAAATAATAGTTCATGGACCGGAAATTGCAGCCTTTTGGCGGATCATCAGTTTGAGCATTTTGCTATATCTCAAATAATAGTTCATGGATCGGAAATTGCAGCCTTTTGGCGGATCATCAGTTTGAGCACTTTGCTATATCTCAAATAATATTTCATGGACCGGAATTTGTAGCATTTTGACGGTTCGATTTCGATGGAGTGTACAAATTGAACCTACTTTCCGATTCCATGCCATAGGTAACTTGAGTCTGGGGTTTCTGAATGTCGTGTGTGGACCTATTACCTCGATGGGTATCAAATGACCTCAAATCTCATCCATTCATACCGCATGACGTAGAGTCACGCTTTTGAGAATGTTCGTCGATGAGTTCTGTGACGTGATGACCCCTGATCCAAGACGTGTGTCCAAGACGTGTGTCCGGTGGTTGCTCCCAAAAGCAATAGGACTAGACCCTGCAAATTCCCCTTGAACCCACATCTGAGTTTGGGATGAGAGTTTTGGATGGCTTATCACTTAGAGAGTTCAACTCTTAAGTTAGGAGAGTATGAAGTGTGAAAGAGAAACTGTGCAGTAGCCCACATTCCTGAATACTCTCCTGGCGTATGTGAGCACAAAAGTGAAATGGTGGCTCCATATCAATCAAAGAAATCTTCAAACTATCTTTCCCCAGGCAGCCAATCAGTGGGGATAGATATTTGCCCCTTTGGGAATGTGGTACAGAAAAGGACGAAGTCCGACGAACTGTATGCGATCGGTTTTGGTCTTTCATTTCGGTCAATACTTTTGGCAGTAAGTCAACTTCTGACCCAATTGGTCTCTTTGCACATGGTCTTGTGTGCTCGTCGGGTGAGTTCACTCCTCCCACTTCTTGTCTTCGCCGTCTCGCTGCAAGGCCTTGAGATTCAAGTGCACACAAATCTTGGAAACGGACATCTGTCCGTACCTCGCGAATCTTCTAACGCCAAGGAGCTTTGACGTTCATATTCTTTCTGCAAATGTATCCATCTCCTCACATTCGCGAGATTTGCTTCGATGTGATCCGTGAAAAGTAATTTGCTTGATGGGACCCTCAATCTTAGTTTTATCCGATGGGACTCCAACGACGGGTTTAGCTTTACCCGATGGGAACCCAACGACGGTATGCCGTTGGCGTTAGCCATAGTTCCTGTAACTATGATTACTACTAGTTACAATGCAAGGATTATAATCAGACATCAATCCACCAAAAATTATAATCAATCATTTTTTAAAATTTTTGGTGGATTATCACGGGAAAAAAATCGATTTTGCCCGAAGTGCAATTTGTTGTGCTTCAATTCTCACGATCGTATCTCGCGGATTTCTCGCTTCTTCCCGCCTGCGCCAGCATCCTCCTTCCAGTAACCCTGCGTATGCGACACCGACGAGGAAAGTGGTCTCTAAAACTCAAGTCGTTATTAGAACATGGGTTACACTGCATCATTCATGGGGTCCCCTGAAGGTTCCCATCAAGCAAATCTCTCACTCACACTCCCAGTACTAATTAATTTCTGTTTGTTTGAGTTCCGAATTAGTGTTCGCCGAAGTTAAGCGAACTTCAAAATATTTGCAATCGTACATATTTACCATTGATAAATAGACGGGAGTAACGAGCGAATAAATTCTGCATCTATTATAAGGATGTACCTACGTCTGTATTTTCATTTCAGTCCCATTTCTATCCTACTTATCTAATCTCTTAGAACCTACTGCATTAATTTTATGAGAATAAATTAAAAGATTATCAATTGGGAGGGGAGGGGAGAGGGGGAGTGTTTAAATAATCAATCTCAATATATGTATGTTTGGGGATGAAAATTATGGGAAGCTTCTCAGTAGATGTACATGCTCTTTTATCAATATTTGTGTGAAATATAGAGCTCCAATTTCTCTCCTAGTGACATCTAAAACCCAGATTGATACACTTTGTATGATGCCTCGAAATCATTTTCCCTCCCATGAAGAGAAATTTTGAAACCAACGTAAAGCGGATGCTTTCCTAACGTCAGAAGGTTTGGTGAGGAGATCGGATATTGTACAGTAGGCTGAATTTAAAAACCTAGCGAATTTGACCAATTATTATTATATTAACCACTCCGACATCTTCTTTGTAGCCATTTGGCCACTGGTTGGGTTGTACCCATACTGAGCAAGTGCACCACTGAAACATGCGTAAACATTATAATTATACCACGTGGTATATAAACGTGACAAGGATGGTCATGATATTGAAAACCGTTTTTTGTGATACATGCATAACATATTGTTCAAATGATTGTACAAGTGGTTACCATCTCAACAGTGTTTCAAAGCATTATTATTTATACTAGCATTTGTTGTCCATGTTTAATTGATAGGAATTTTAAAGAAATCGTAACGAAGCTATAATTGATTTTCTTCCAGATATGATTTATTGAGACATCATTTCATCAAGTTTTGAAAATTGCTATTACAAGATGACGTTTAAAGGATTGAATAGATATTTGCGATGAAATTAATATCTTAAAAACTATTTTTATACATTAGTTTGCTTAATATGAATGTAAAATATGACAACGATCTCATTTATTTTCCCCTCTCTGATCACTCTTTTTGCCAAATGTAGGATATGTGTCAACGGAAGAATTAGTTTTATCAGTAGAGTTACAACATTAACTCATTCTTCTTTGTTTTACTTTTTTGACTGTTCATTGAACTCTACGTCCACGGCCCACTAGATGGATGTATCACCAATTTTACCAAGATGTGAATCTAATCTAATTAAATCCAACTAATTATTGTAAAAATAGTTGTCCTCCAAGACTCCAAATTGTCCTCTCAAGACTCAACATCACATTGTTACCCCCAGTTAATAAGCGTGGATTACTTTACACCTTTCGAGGGGAACTAGCCAGGTGTCTATTAGTGTGGCCTACACAACGTCCTAGGCTTAATATTTTATAGCCTTTGCGGCTTGTCACAAACTTGCATCGACGCTGTTGTCAGTTGCCTCACCCCCGTCATCTTGGAAAATTCTTCTGTGTCAGTCTGCGACTCGAGAGTGTTATTCACAAGCGGCTCAAGCAAATACGAAATCATGTGATTACAGCAGTCTGGACCACTGTAATCACAGACCAGACTCTCGAGGGAGGGGGGAGAATCCAATTCAGCACATGATCCCGAATTTATGGCATCTTTCACTTTTCTGCTTCGTAAAGGTACATCAAGTTTTCCTCACAGAAGTGTCACGGTAATTTCCAGCGTACACATTTGTCACCCACCCAGAAAAGAAGGGTGCATTTATGACATCGCTGACAAGCAATCTCGTGCGAAGAAGACAGATATCCCGCCGGACTGAGCTTCTGTGGAGAGTATAAAACGCAGCAGGCCTCTACTATGTGGCATATCGAAGGAAATCTAACACGCAGCCATGGGTCTCCGAGCAGTAGTCGAACTTGTTCTGATCTGCGCGGTGCTTTTCAATCTTGGAGAGACGGAGGCCCAGTCTCCATATGAGCTGCAAGTAAACACGGGCAGTGTTGTGACGAGCATTGATGACGATAAGTTCCTGTGCGTAACTCTGGACTGGTGGCCTGCGGCCAAATGTAACTACGGACAATGTCCATGGGGAGAAGCCGGACTTCCATACCTGGTATTGACACTTCCTCGTTTCCCCGCACTTAGCCGCCATGCTAAACTCTTGAATGTTAGATTTCAGGATACGTAACGTTTCCATGTCCTGCAAATTCTGTACATTGCATGCTGATCCTACTACAAAGAAATCGTGGGACAACCTCCTGATTTCGGTAGCTGTACTCATATACGAGGAATGTAGACTGAGTTGTCTTTCTCTAGCTGCTGAGTTCATGAACCTTGGCAGAAAGTCTGTGTTAGCACAACGTCTCCTCTTTCTATTGGTTCGATATATCTTTCATGTATCACGAGTGCATGTCCATGATCTGAGAATCCAAGTGTCTGGTACGTATGATTCTGAACACCATCGCTGAAACTGGCATCAATGTCTTGACACGTGGGCTTTCTAGAGCGCTATATTATCGGACCCTCTTAGCAAGTCGTCTTTGTCAATTTGGTAGACCACGAAGTTGACCGATTTCTCATTTGCTTAATGTGCAGGATCTCAAGAACCCGCTTTTACACGAAACTATGAAAGGTACTTCTCAATCCGGCTCTCAATCTCCTCTCTGTGAGCCACGAAGATAAGTATGCATGCGTGTGTCTTCTTTTGCCTGTCGATAGCATGGATTTGGCTCACGAAATGCTAATGGCGACCACACATTTCCGTCACGTGTACAGCGCTGCATCCGTTGACGGTCAGAGCCGGCGGGACGCTGGCGAATTTGGTGGTCTACGATATCGGCCAGCTGATTCCGGGAGAAGAGTGCAAGCCTTTCACCATGAATGGATCTGCTTTGTACAATTTCACCGGTGGATGCCTGACCATGCAACGCTGGGACGAGCTCAACGAATTCTTCATCAAGGCCGAGTGAGTACTTATCCCACATGTTTCTTTTGCCTAGTGCGACTTGACTTCCTCCCACATAATAATGATGTGTCAGCAGTCGTGAGATTCTTCCAGCAACTGGCTGGAAATTATTCGCTGTACTTCTTCGAGTCAATTGATATTTTGAACTAGATAGCCTTTTCGATTCATCACTTGGTCGTGCAGCTACGTAAAGAAAATAGTAGACTGTATCTTGTACGTCTTCAAATAAAATATTTGACTTTAGCCACTTCGCTAAAAGTAGGGTGGGGTAGGCGCAACGTGAAACCCACGTGGCATGGAAGAATGGAAGTGTCGTGAAGAGCTTACAATGCTTGTGCTGAGTTCCATGCAGGGTTCAAGTGGCCTTCGGTATCAATAACTTGTATGGCCGATCGAAGGAGAAGGCAGACCACAATGTCACTGGTCCTTGGGATCCCAGAAACACTTATGATCTGATCAAGTACACTCGCGACAAAGGCTATCCAGTATTTGCCTGGGAGTGTGGTGAGCAACCACAACTACGATGCATACTCTTTTCCTGCCCAGAAGGCTGTTTTTGATGAAAGGAGTCTTGTAGACCCTCCAGATTCGGAGACTGCAATCAAGAATTTATCTCGATAGTATTCTCTCATCCAGTCGATAGAAAGTGAGGAGCATAGGTTCATATGTTTATTCCTAACTTCAGCCATTTCCTTTGCTGTATTCTTCACAGGTAACGAACTTTTGGGATACGCAATTGAGAAAGTTATAAATCCATATCTATATGCTGAGGATGTCATGAAACTGGATGCCATTGTGGACGAACTTTATAAAGATTCCCCCACAAAGCCCCTGGTTATTGCGCCAGATTCGATCTACTTTATTAACCAGACAGAGCTCCCGGATTTCTTGCAAGCGGCAGGGGCAGGCAGAGTGGATGTAGTAACCAATCATTACTACAATTTGGGTGGAGGTTTGAGCATTGCAACCATTTACTCTTGTTATGAATATGATATGATTGGACTCTTTTCTGTATAATGCATAAGTTGAGAGCAAGAATGCGAAGTTTCTTTCTTTCGGACTGGATATCATAAGGTTCAGTTGAATACCAGGCCAGGACATTTCATTCACGCAGGCATGATGTAAGGAGACCAATCTGTTGTTTAGATTGATATTAGATTGATATATGTATAAAACTTGACCGGCTGCGTAAAACGCGGATGGACGAAGTCGAGTCTTATATCTGAGTCCAGAATCAGTTGAAATAGCTTACAGAAACGACAACGTTGAGCTTTTAGAGATAAGTAAGTATTTTGTCAACACAGCATTTCAAGCTTGACATATTTTGTTTCAAATTTTGCAGGAGATCTGAGTCCAGACCAGCTGATTGCAAATATTCTCGATCCATCCTATCCAAATGACTTAGAGAAGATTTACCAAGCTCTACAAGATGTTATGAAAAAGCATCCAGCCTCAGAAACTTGGGTGGGCGAGGCTGGTGGCATCTACAACAGTGGACGCCACGGGGTCAGCGATGCTTTCATCATGGCTTTCTGGTATGATTCAGTTCAGAGTTCGCAATGTACTTTCACAGTTTTGTCCTCTTCCGTATCTTCATTCTGTCATACGTCTACTTTGACTGTGTTTCTTACCCTGAATGGATGCATCACCATACAATCAAATACAATGCAGAGAGTGACAGTGCGTAAACTACCTAATGGAAGATGTTCAGAGTAAGTGAAACCTAGTAAGATAGCTACAATTTCCCACTGAATCATAGTACATCCAGAGTCTCATAGTTTATAATCATCACTTTCGTCGTGATATTTATGGAACAAGTAGGAAAGCAAGCAATCTTTATCTCTGATGGTTCAGCAAGTCCTAGAGCATATTTGAAGCGTCTATGAGAAAGGCAAGGGAATTGGAGCATGTTCATCTTAAATATCATCGGAGACATATCAGTATTGACAGATAAGTTTGGTCGCTGTGTAGGTATATGGATCAACTTGGAACAGCATCATACTACAACAACAAAGTCTTTTGTAGGCAAAGCTACATTGGGGGCAACTACGGGCTCTTGGATAGAACAACTTTTCTACCAAACCCTGATTACTACGGGTGAGTTGAATCGCGCTTCATTCAAACCTTCCTGCACTCTTAGAGAAACTCAAAGAAATTTCGTTAATGAGCTTCGTGTTGAAAGAACCTGTCTATTCCTGAATCCAACTGGTTATTTTGCACTCTTTCAATTCCAGCTTATGGACAGAAACTCTATCTAGGCTAAAACATAGGTTGCACACTCTCTGAAGCCCTTGGTCCGGGCTTTTGGAGTTTTTATCAATACATCCTAACCTTAAAAGAGGGAGGAAGTACTAGTATAGGACAAAATCACAGTACTAAAGCCACACGCAGTTGATGGGACCAGAAGTACCTTTCGAAACGTCATCATTTCTTCATAATATTAAGTCGTATTCAGACCGAGAGTAGCTGAACAAGCATATCATACCGTCCGTCTTCACACAGACACATATGAATGCAGTTTCTACAGCTAGAGAGTGGAGAGCTCATCACTGTAGAATTTGATAGAGCTTGAACTGTGTTTTTCTAACCCTTCCTGGATATGAAGTGCGCCATCTTCTTTAGAATCGTCAATTCCAATTCTAAATCTGGTACTTTAAGTCCTTGCTGGACAGTTGGTTTCACCTCTACAATAACGAAGCAACATTGGAGGGTTTAGTGGACCATGTAAAGGCCCCAATGTGAATAGGAGATGTCAGACTTAATAAGTGATACTGAGTCAAAATTCCTTCATCGGTTTTTCCACTACAGCTCTATAATAGTCTCAATAATGCCTTTTTCATCTTGTCTTGTTCAAGAGCCCTGCTATGGCGCCAATTGATGGGGAAGGGAGTATTAGACGTTGATGTCGGTGGAGATTCAAACATCCGCGCTTACGCTCACTGTCAAAGACATCACCAGGTACCAGAAAAGATCAAATTCAGTATAACTTAACCAGCAGATCAAATTGTTCGTCCAGAGTTCCTTGTGAGATATTGTCTGCTTGTAAAGACATAAGCATGGTTTTGAGATCGATTACATTAGACGGTGGTGGATGTTAATCAGCCGCTTCCAATTGTAGAAAACAATCGTCAATGTGTTGGACAGGGATTCTGTCTGTTCCAGCATAGAATATGAATTTCTCTTGTTCAAACTAGCAAATTACATGGATACAGGACATGTTATTTAGGTGGCCCTCAATTTGCTGCTGACTGGCTTTGCAGAGCGGAGTAACATTGCTAGTCCTCAACTACAGCAATTCTACCTCATACGACCTGACCGTCAAAATCCCAGGCTCCGCAGAAGCCACTAGGAGACCCCGCCTTGAATACCACATGAGTGCTCCGAATGGAAATATCTCTGGCCAGGTCGTAGCACTTAACGATGAGCCATTGCTGATTACTCCTTCCGGGCAAGTTCCAACGTTGTCACCGGTGGAAAAGGATCCATCTACCCCAGTCACTTTGAAGCCGTTCAATTATGCCTACGTGGTGTTCCGAGATGTTCATGCCCCTGCCTGCGCTACACCTTAAATTTAGTTGGACGACACTTGTAGAACGAGTACTGCCAGTAGAGGCGGTTTTATTAACCGTTCTTTGAGGATCTGCAGGATTGTTCTTGATATCTCAGCCCTGCATAGGAGGCAGTACTAGACTCGGTGAATAAAACAGCACTCTTCATATTTTTTGTCATGAGCAAGAGAAAGGCTGTATGACTTCGTGATATTCACATCATTTGCTTTCAGGACTGGAGAAGTATACATGCACATGCTTCGCTTCGACATGTATGATGTTAAAGTTGATGATACTGGCCATTAGCTCAAAGACCCATTATACTCGTTTGTTTGACCAATGTAGTACTTCGTGAAGTCTACCGTTACTTTTTGCTATTCCACTGGGTATGTCAGGATCTTTCATAATGATCTAAAAACTTTCTCAATTTAAACGTGGGGTTTTAACGTATTCTGTCCGTTTAGAGATTATGATATATCATGTCATACCACATGTATTCTTGATCTTAACTCTAGTCATCATTATTCCGTATACGAAATTAAATATACTTCCTGTAATGAATTTTTTACAATTCAACATGCAGCTACCGGTAGCTTATATCAAATCAGGGAAAAACAGATGGCTTGCTTCCGTGCCCTTAATGAACGATATTTCATGAAGATCCTCTTCAACACAAAGATTACTCTGTTGTTATCCAAATAAAAACCATCCTTGTGAAACAAAAGGTTACTTATTAGATGCAAATCCTATCACAACATATTGAAACATTATTATGAAGAAAACCAACCAGTTGGTGGAGGAGAAAATTGTCAAAGGATCTGCTTCTGAAATAAACTCTTCTCAGTAACCAGCAAAGCAAACAATGCCATCCACATGTTCTCTCCTTGGTTTCCAACCTTTCGTGAAGTATTATTGGATGATCCACGTATTCTGTCATATCCCTTGAGATTTTTACAAGATCTTGTGGCTTTGGAATTGTCTTGTCGATTTTGGACTTGTCAACTTGTGTTGAAGGGGATTCACCTAAAACATCGTTCACTTAAGACCGGAAAGGAAGCCATAAGTTGTTCACTGATATGAATTAAGGTCGCTTGTGCTTCCTCTGTACCTTGCCCGCGATTCTCACAAAACATTCGGAATTCTGTATTTTTTCGGGTCTTTGTATAAAGAGCTTTGCTTCTTCCCGCTTACTGCTATTACACGTGAAGTTCTCGATGGATGGAACTCTGCTCTAACATGGACGAATCTCTGAAGAAACACGAGATAGATGTGATTACTGGAACTGGAATGGGTCCCCAGTGATTCGCTGCAGAATCTAGAGAACAGAAAACTCGCCTGCTCCAGCTCGTCACTTGAAGACTGTGAGCTGGATTCCGTGCTTCGGAGGAAAACCGTACGCCCAGCGTGGATGTCCGCCCGCCGCAGGCTCGTGAGGGAAAACTCACGTCAGACACGTTGCAATATAGCAACGTTGCGATATAGCAACGTGCTTTTCAGTAATCTGGTACGAAGTAGAAAAAGTCTGACACAGGTTCGGTCCTTCAAGAGAGTCGACTTCGTCTCGTCGCGATGAAGTTCAATATTTGCACAGAGACATCTGCTGTCTACTTTCCATCGATAAACAATGCCTGTTACAAGCGGCCAAGGAATTCTAAACACTTTCCTGGTCATATTGTCTCTGCATGGCTATGCAGAGACAATCTGCGACAGACGGAAACGAGAATTTTCCAAGATAAGGCAGTAGTTACTCATGATGTAGAATGAAACTACAGCTTTGATGCAGCTATGATTGATGAGAATTTCCCTTCAGCAACGTTTGACTGTTGGCTGTCCCAAGAATGTATTGTAGAAAATTTATGCCGATAGGGACAAACTGGGCTCTTCACCTTTGTAAGAGCATCGCTCTTTTGTAGTTTTGTCTGAAACTGTTTATTTTTGTCACTGAAGAGACATGCCCATGCTGACAGGAGGCAGCAAACTCGGTCACACCTGCAGAGCTCTGCAGGTGTGACCTAAGCCAAGAGCTTTACTAATATACTGCACCTCGGTCCAAATAGCAGGACGTGATAAAGCATCATCCAATAATCAGCAGTAACTGTGCGGATTTCTTCAAATTCAAGAATGAGAAGTATCAGCAACAAGTACTAAGACTCATAATCGTTCGGAATATAGATCGAAGTCCTGTAAAGCCATGTCTGAGTCCTTGCAGAGGAGAGCTGTATCTTTGAGTAGTTTTTTAAGTGACGATCATATAAGAACTAAAGTTAATGGGTTTTTTTTATGTTCCCCCTTTTCTATAATATACGCAGCTTTCTGCCCGCGCTTCTGGAAAAGCCTTTTATAAGCCATCTTGAGTTCTGTTCGTAAGGGATGGTCTTAATTCCTCCTGAATTGCTGCCAAATGTTGCCCAGATCTTCTCGCGTCCCGTAAAATCTGGGCCCTTCTGCAGGTGTATGAAGATTTTGTTTGCGTTATTTTAGACCGGTCAGTCATTCACTATGTTGACCAGGTCCTGTGCTAACAAAACTATGAAGTCTATTGTATTTCAAAGAAATACGTTCTCAAGATTGGAGAACACAATTCTATCTTTCCGTAAATTCAGAGGCAAATACAAGAACAATCCACATCCTTTCTGAATATTGTCCTTCAGGATTAAATATCTCACATGTGTTTTGAATACCAGCTGCGCATGATCTGCAATATCGAATGCATAGAGCGCGTCTCTATATGGAAACCGGTGAGAATTATTCCAAGCAATTTTCCGCTCAAAGGATCTGAGGAAGCAGAAGATCATTTCCGTCTTCTTATCTAGTTGAACACCTGAGGAAAGGTCATTTCGTTACATCTCTCTGTCTGGGCTGGAGGCTCTTATCCGAGCAGACTTGCAAATAATATTGCTTTTAGAGCGGTTCTCTTCACAGCCACGAAATCACGGTAGGAGAAGCGTGGAGACATATCGAATTGAAATGGGGCTTGGTAGCTAGACTTCATAATTCCATAATCATGACCCCATGACCATATGCATCATCTTCGTCTCTGGCTTCGCAGCATACCGTCTTTGGAGTGGTCTATGAGAGCGCGTCTTGCCGGTGTGTGATTGGACTCCGACCTAGTTGCTTCCGAGCTGGTATAGGCAGGGAATGTGACGCATGTAAAAAGGTCCAAATCCAGATTTTTCTCAGCCATCATCAGACTTTTTCCGATCTGATGGTGGATATTCTTCCTAGATAAAGCAACACAAGAACTCTTCTGAAACAATGGAATGCGTCCAAGAGTGCAGAAAGTTACTTGATGGATTTTTTTAAGTACGTTCTCCTGACATCGGACACATATGCTAAAGGTAGCTATGACTTCATGAAACAGTTTTCACCTTTCCCTCAGGTCAACCGAACGACCATGGTAAATACTAATCTTCTCATCGTCACACTTTGCGCTTCCAAAGTTTTCTGGGTAGCAAAAAGCGCGTTGCAGGTAGGGTATCTTCCTCAACTGAAACCTACTTGTGCTAATTTTCACTTTCTTGTCTTCTGGGTCATTGGTTTAATTTTCTTGCTTTAGTTGCGCTGGTCCGAAAAACAATTATTACGGTATTGATAGTGATTCCACTCTTGGCTCAAATTCCCTCCTAAAAAGGCGTCACGCAACTATTGTTCTGTCCTGTTGTTATGAACAAAAAGCAATATCAGAATTTATCAGATTATTATGATCACACGTTTGCTGCATGATGATCCCAAGATCGTTTCTATCTATATAACTGATATTTATCTCTACAAATATGCAGAGCTTTGTAAAAATCTTTCAAATTTTTACTGTTGTAATAGATGTTTCGTTAAAACTTTCCGATATTAAGTGTCCTTTGGCTCCCCTAAAGAAGAAGGATCAAACCTCAGTGAACAAATTCTGTGTACACTGACATTTCATGACTAGATGGCTGAGCTCCACAGGACTAAGTTTATGGTTGTGACCTTGAGCCTCCTCAAAGTACGATTGAGAATATGCGGACGTAATGAGTGTTTTCTTTAATCCCTAACTCTGTCTGCACTCAGTACAGACTACACTGAAGGTAATTTTAGACTACCTGGGCAGATATACTTACTCATTGTTGGCCTAGAGCATGTAATGCTAGTGCCCCTAATAGTCTGCATTCGTATTTTATACTTGCTAGAATGAGATACGATTGGTGGTCTTGATTTATTAGTCACTAGGTGTAGTCATAGTGTGGTAACCCACTTTTTGTTTTTCGTCGGAATTAGAACATTTTTGATTAGTAAGTACCGTGGTAGCAGCTGTAAATAGTAATCGGTACGCAAAGCCAGAGTAAAAAGAGGATCGAGGACAGTCGAGGGGTTTTGGGCTTAGGCCACAGTGGAACGCTTGGAATGGAACGGGCGGTTCACGCTGCAGGACTCGCTTCGAGCACCTTCGGCGGTAGATCACTCATAACTTCCTAAATTCTTAACGCCTTGAGTTACTTAGGGTCTCGTTGGAAAGAGCTCAACGCGCTCGTTCTAACGAGACCAAGAACGCCTGGAACGGATGAGGACTCAGGGAGTTGTGACTGTCGGAAGATGCGAAGGAGAACGCCTACGGATAGGCGGAAGGAGTTCGTCGTTAGCAGAATATCCACCTTCGGCCCTAGATGTTCGCCTTCGGCGACGGACGTCTTCGTGTCAACTTCAAGTCGGCAAACTCGGAGTCGGCAAACTTGAGGTCGGCGAACTCGAGGTCGGAGAACTCGAGGTCGGAAAACTCGAGGTCGGAAAACTTGAGGTCGGCGAACTCGAGGTCAAAGAACTTCAAGTCAGCAAACTCGGAGTCGGCAAACTTGAGGTCGGCGAACTCGAGGTCGAAGAACTCGAGGTCGGAAAACTCGAGGTCGGAGAACTTGAGGTCGGCAAACTCGAGGTCGGCGAACTTCAAGTCAGCAAACTCGGAGTCGGCAAACTTGAGGTTGGCAAACTCGAGGTCAAAGAACTTCAAGTCAGCAAACTCGGAGTCGGCAAACTTGAGGTCGGCGAACTCGAGGTCGGCGAACTTCAAGTCAGCGAACTCGAGGTCGGCAAACTTGAGGTCAGAGAACTCGGAGTCGGCGAAACATCGTGCGGGCGCCTTCGGCGATAACAGATAACAAGCCTTTGACAGTGTGCCTTCGGCCAAGGATAAAACCGGCATAACTCTTTCAACTCGTAACGGTTTGACTCAATTAGGGTCTCGTTAGAAAGAGCTCGACGC